GAGCAAGATGAATGGTACCTAGCTGAGTCAGATAGAGAAGATGTTTCTCAACGCGAACATGAGGAAGATGATGTGGTGGATGAGACACACCATGACCCTAAGTGTCCTACGATTGGCTTTACTGCCTTTGAGAAGATTAAATGGCAGAGAGAGTGGAGATCAGCTCTGGTGGTGAAGGATCTAGGGTGTAACGTTCCGTACTTACATCTATCAAAGAGGTTGAATTTCCTATGGGCAAGAAAAAGGATTTGCAGATATCATACATGAAGAATGGATGCTTCGTGGTACGTTTTCTAAATCAAAAGGATTACGAGCTGGCAATGATGGGGGGACCTTGGCTGGTGGGGGACACGTAGCTAACTGTTCATCGTTGGTTCAAGGGTTTCAATCCTTGGAAGACAAAGATCAAATCGACGATGGTCTGTGTCCAACTACCAGAATTACCCATTGAGTTCATTAACGAGGCGGTGATGCGGATTGCCGGAGCTATCGGAAAGCAGATATGGGTGGACCGAGCTTGGTGCTAGGGGAAAATTTGCAAGAGTGTGTGTGGAAGTGGACCTGACACAACCACTATTGTCCCATTATAAGATTGAAGGCATAACTTATCTAATCCAATATGAGCGAATTGATCATGTGTACAAAATGTGGCACTTATGGAAAATCGTCGAAATCATGTCCTTGTCGTAATATGACTTCTGAGAGAGAGAGGAACCTGTTGTGGAGGAGGATACGACAAGTGAGCCGGCGGAAGATCCAATGAGTGGTAGGACCTACGGGGAGTGGATGGTGGTGAAACGGAAGAGTTGGAAACCCATCCATAAAGAGGGTATGAGTCGTCTGAATAGGGAAGGCATGGGATATGTGAAGCGCTTCCATGCACGCCATACACAGTCAAAAAATGTAGAGAACCCTGACGTCAAGCATGTTGTGGATACTATGTCGGAGAGCCAGGGGAAAAATAATGATAAGAAAGGAACTGATAGTCATAAAGTTGTTGACCAAGGCGGTACTTATGAGGTTAGCCAACCGTAAGTGGGTGAAGGTCCAAAGCAGGATGGGTATGGAAGGAATACTAGTAAGTCTACGGTGGATGAAGGGAATGGGAACAAGAAGGAAGTGGGTCATAAGCTGAAGTCCCAGAAAGTGGGAGCTTCTTTGATTCAAGAGAAACATGCTGTTATGGACAATAGGGGGCGAGATAAGGTGGAGGAAACTTTTACGGGAGTGAATGCAAGTAATCAAGGGAAGAAGTGTACTAAAGCTTGAGTCAATGTTGAGGGTGCGGGGAACCGATCCCCTTTGGTAAATAGATGAATCTTCTTTGTTATAACTGTCGTGGATTGGGAAGTACACGTGCAGTTAGATCTTTAAAGTCGTTGCTGCGACGAAGTTCACTACATGTCGTCTTTCTTATGGAAAATCGACAATTACGTGATGAAAATGAAGAGACGAGGATAGAACTTGGGTACAAGCATGGGAAAAGATGGCCTACAGATGTGTCCAATGGAGATCGTGGAGGAGGAGTAAGTGTATGGTGGAATGAGGAAACTAGTATCACGGTGATGACACGATCTCTGAATCACATTGACATTAAAATAGATGATGACCTTTTTGGAACCTGGGGGTTCACGGTCATCTATGGTTTGCCAGAAGGAACTGAAAAAGAGAGGACATGGGAATTGCTAAGGCAATTGGCGGCACAATGGGATGGACCTTGGATTTATAGAGGTGACTTTAACCAGGTATTATCGGAGGCTGAGAAAAAGAGTGGAAACCTGTCGATGGAAGGGAAGATGAGAGCTTTCTCGGATTGCCTTAATGACATTGGCTTGCAGGACTTGGTGTTCACAGGTTACCCATTCACATGGTAAAATAGGCGCCGGAGGGGAGGCTACATTGAAGAGCGACTCGATAGGTTTGTGGCAAACGAGAGATGGTGGGAGAAGTGGCCGCACGCAAGGGTTTCTCACCTGGACAAAACTCGCTCCGATCACCGTCCACTCCTATGTGAAACGGTGGGTGAGGAGGATGAAGAGGTGAAATGGAGTTGGAGTTTTAAGTTTGAGCCTCACTGCTGAAGCATGACTGCTGTCAACAAGTTGTAGAGCAGGCATGGACTTCCCCTGCGGGAGATGTGTTTAGCAAAATTGATGTCTTAAGGGACAAACTCATTTGTTGGAGTATAGAAACCATCCCTGACTTCCGACGTCATAGAGCTAAGATCACGCGTGCACTTAAAGATCTTGACAGGGCGACGCTTTTAGACCTTATGATGGACCAAAGATTGAAGTTGCAAGAGGAGATGAAGGATCTCGAATATGATGAGGAATTATTTTGGAAGCAGAGGTCGCGGGCTGATTGGGTGGGATGCGGTGATAAGAACACTAATTATTTTCACAGGAAGGCCTCGGCTAGAGGAAGAAGAAATACGATTAAGAAGCTGTAGGATGAAGCAGGGCAATGGTGGACTGGACATGATCAGGTGTTCTCGTGTCTATTTAATTATTTTGACCGTCTTTTTTTGGTAGGAGAGCGACCCCTACATACCCCAGTGCTTGATTCCATTGCTCATCGCGTGAGTGAGGAGGATAATGAGAAGCTTACTGGCCCTTTCACGAAGGAGGAACTGTGGGTTTGAAACATATAGCTTTGTGCGGCGCTGTTTTGGTGGGGTGGGGTTAGAGATTTTTATGTTATTATGTATATTATATAATATTACTAAATGGTACTTGATAAATTTTATTTTAGTCATTATATTGTTAAATTACTATCTTATATATCTTCTACTTATGATATTATTGTTAAATATGATACCGGTTCTCTAACATTTTTTTAACGACCTAATGTCGGTTGAACCATTAAAGTAGGGGTTGTTCACATTACCGGGTCATGCTCCGGTTTGGTTCCAACAACATTGCTCCTTAGTGCTCAGGAATTTCTGGTTAGCGGCTTAAGGTGGCGGATTGGGAATGGAGCTTCTGTGAGAATTTGGGGAGGGGGGGGGGATCGGTGCGTCCCGAATGCTCTCGGCTTCATTTTTCAGTCAGCACCCATGGGCATTCCTGTTAATTCGACTGTTCAGGAGTTCATAGACGAAGACGTTGAGCAGTGGAATTGGGTTCTCATTGAGAGTTGCTTTCCCACTTAATGGTGGATGCTATTGCCCGGATACCTTTGAGGAATGCGGCTGAACCGGACCAGCTTATATGGGCGAGTAGTCGAAATGGGAAGTATTCGGCTAGAGAAGGATACAGGCAGTGGCTCTGGGAGCATAGAGCAGCTGGCTGAAGAATGGCGTTAGGGGTTCCAGCGCTATGGAAGAAATTATGAGGTATGAACACACCGCCGAAAGTGAAACATTTCATCTGGCGTTTGGCCAGGGACTCTCTTGCGACGGGGAATCATGTCAGTACTAGAAGTAAAAGGAGGGGTGATGCTTGTACATTTTGTGACATAAAGGAAACTCAGGTCTACCTCTTTACTCAGTGTGCATGGACATGCATGATATAGGGAAAGTCCCACGCAGCCCACTGTTTTGATATGCGAGGGCTTTGACAAGTCTTAAGTGGGTGGAGACCGTGGCGGAGCGAGTAACCGAAAAGGAGTTGGAGGATTGGAGTATGCTCATGTAGATGATTTGGAAGGAGCGAAACGCCCAAATGTTCAGTGGGGGTGAAGCTAGATGCAGAAGACATAGTACCACGTTCTACGGTGTTGCTGGACGAGTATAGACTTCACCAAACTTTGCTCTACCCGCCACAAATCGATCACGTAGAGAGGAAGTGGATGAGAATAGAAGCAGGAAAGGTCAAAATAAACATGGGTGCACGTGTGGATATGGAAGGAATTGGACTGGGGGTGGTGGTGCGTGATGATAATGGATGTTTCTTGTTGGCAGCTGCGAAGAGAATAAGAGGCGGATAGAAACCAGCAGTAGCGGAAGCCATGACAGCTGAATTCGGTTTGCAACTGGCATGTTGGCATCAACATGGGGTTCCTGTCCTATAGATGAACTGTCTGTCGGTGGTAAATTGCGTTAAGGATGCAGACAAGGATTATACAAAACTGTGAGTGGTTTGCAAGAATATCAGACGGATCCTGGGGGAGATGGGAGAATGAGAGTGTAGGCATGTTATATGGCCAACAAACAAAGCAGTACACATCATGGCGCATACAAATACGAGATGGGATGAGGCTGAGGTCTGGTTTGATCGACCTCCTATGAGTCTGCTAGATCAGTTGAGATTGGACAATGTAACAGTTTCTTCTGAACAATAAAGCGTAATGCAGATTCCTAAAAAAATATGGATGGGAATTTATGAACTCCACTGCCCAGATGAATGGTACAAAACATTGGTTTGGACCTTTTCAATTTTCATTTGGGCCTATAGCACAATCCCAAATACTTGGTCATTATGTTATGCCCTCAAAGCAAACCAGTATAAAAGACCACAGGAAAGTCGTAACTTTTGAACGCTTACGTGGCTACAAGTCATTGGTTTGCTACTCTGTTCAGAACTCCGATCTAGGGATGGCAACAAAACCCGAACCCACGGGTACCCACCCTATCCAACCCGGTCAACGCGGGTAAAATCCGCGTTGACGGGTGTTGGGCCGGGTTCGGGTTTAAACCCGCTACACTATTCACCGGGTTGGGTTTGGGTTTAGGTAAACCCGCCCCATGGGTACCCGCCCACACCCATATAATTAATTTTTTCGGGTTATTTAATATTCTAAACAATATATCTTCCTTAAACAACTAATCTTCTTTATATTTGTGGAGACATGTCTAATTTGTTCTTTCTAATTGTGTACAATGAATTTGATATTATAGAGTGGAGAGTAAAGAAGTTTAGTTGATAAGGAGGAATAAGTTTTTAATTAATCATGTTGTTTATAGATGTTTATCTTTAATTTTGAACAATTTGTATTGATAATTTGCGGTTTGCTTGTATGCTCTAGATTAGTGTTTTTTGTATGGATATTTTTATTAGAAAATTGATGTTAGACTTTTATTTTGAAAGAAATTTGTTATTGTAAATTTTTTACCACAAAAATCCACGGGTACCCATGAACCCCTGGATACCCTGCGGGTTAGGTTAGGTTTGAGTTTTTCAAACTCAGCGAGTTTTACCCCGATTTTTTTTACAGATAAACCAATGAATTTGGGTTTGGGTTTAACAAAACCCGCCCCAACCTGACCCTTTGCCATCCCTACTCTACTCCATGGTAAAGGAAACCGAATCGTACCAGCCTGTTCAACCGGTAAAACCGGGAATCAGGCCAGTGCCGAAACGGCACCCTACCAGCGCCTATTTTACTGTGCGGGCGGGTATTAACAGCGTAACCGGCATTTTCCGGTATTCCGTCTGGTTTATTTCAGATCGACGGTAGACGAATTCGATGAGAAGTCGCCGTTTCATGTGACAAATTAAAAAAAACGATTAACTTTACAATATCTGCTAACCCAATCGATTCTTCGCCCTTCTCTCCAAAATTGTTTCAGTTCACACTTCACCTGCCGCAGCCGCTCCTTCTTTCTCCAGAACGCCGCCTGCCTGCTCGTGACGTGAAGAAGAGGTCGACGCCGGCCGACGATCGATTTCCAGCCTCCAGCGTAGCCTATCCCTCCAACTCCTTGATCGCACTTCTTCTCCAGCAGTCCAGCGAGTCGGCGACCGCCTGCTCCACAGCTTGTGAATAAAAGAACAATGACGCCGCCTGCCCTTCGTCTTCTCCAGCGACCGGCGACCGGCGGGCTCCAGAACCCGCCGCGCCGAGTCTCCCTCCTATGCTCGACCTCTCCTGCCTCTGGCGACCGGCGAGAAGGGCAGAGGATGAGCCTGCTGCCGCGCCGAGCCTTCCCCTTGCCGCGCCGAGCCTGCTGCCGGTTGGACTTTGGAAATCAATTTCCCATCCACCATATAATTCAATATTTTGGTTTTCAATTAGGTAAGGAGAGTGGAAATCCATGTTGGTGGATGAATAATGTTTGAAATTTTGGTTTTCAATTAGGTAAGGAGAGTGGAACGAAATTTGGTGGATGAAAAGTGTTTGAAATTTTGGTTTTCAATTAGGTAAATCTATTGTGTTTGGCAATGAATAATGTTTGGCTACTCTGGCTTACATATGTGTGCTTTGGCCACAAGTTATTAACAAAATGTGCATGAGAATTAGTATCTCTATTCTAGTATGTGTGCTTGGTAATTGGTATCTCTATTCTAGTATTCTGATTATAATTTGGATGTTTCGTTGTTTTGGCAGCAATGGCTAGTGGAGAAGAAGCCCGATCGGTTGATAAAGGAGCAACTCCTAGTAATTCGAAGGTTACCGCAAAGGGTGTACAAAGCAAAAGTGATCCAACTTGGGCTCATTGTTCCTTGTATCAGGATGGAAAAGTGGAGGTACTCACTTGTCTCTATTGTCAAAAAGAATTTAGAGGCGGATGAATCACTAGAATGAAAAAACATATAGCTGGTGTTAGTGGGGATAATGCAATATGTTCAATGGTTCCGGAAGAGGTGAGCCAAAACATGCAGAACCTATTGACTAATTATGAAACTAGTAAGAAGAAATCTGAAGTTGTAAAAGCTCGATTTAAAGAACCTCGTGATACAAATTCTTCTAGTGCACAAGATGATAATAGTGCTAAAAGAGTTGCTCCTAATGTGTCTACAGGTTCGGTTGACACTTTCTTTGCTCCACGGTCATCTTCCGGTAGTCAATCGGGAATAAAGAGTGCCTTAGCAACTAAAGAAGTTGTATTGTATGTGGATCGAGCATGGGCTAGATGGTTCTATGATGCATGTGTTCCTTTAAAAGCAATTAAATCTCCACAATTTAAAATAGCATTGGATGCTTCTATGACTCTTGGTCCTGGTTATGGCGGCCTACATATTATGCTTTGAGGTTTACTTTGTTGGATTGCATTGTTTTAAGAATGTTAGCTATTGATTGAGAGTTTGAGGTCTCATTGGAAGGAATCTGGATGCACAATTATGGCGGATGGTTGGATGGATAATAGGCGTAGATCCTTAATCAATTTTCTTGTGTATTCTCCTGCTGGAACATGCTTTGTGAAGTCCATTGATGCTTCTGTTTTGGTCAAGAGTGGAAGGAACTTGTTTAAGTTATTTTGTGAGGTCATTGATTGGGTTGGAGCGGAGAATGTTGTTCATGTGGTGACCGATAATGCATCCAACTATAAATTGGCAGGGACAATGATACATGAGCATTATGGTCATATATATTGGACTCCTTGTGTTTCTCATACCCTTAACTTGATTTTGAGTGACATTGGATCTATTCCTCATGTTAAGAAGCTTGCCTATCGAGCTACCAAGGTCTCCAAATTTGTTTACAATCATGGTCCAATTTATTTCTGGTTGAAGACAAAGGAGAATTGGAAAGAAATAATGAGACCTGGTGCTACTAGATTTGCTACTACATTTTTGAGTTTGCAAAGTACTTTTGAGCACATGCATGATTTGGAGGAACTGGTGATTAGTGAGTTCTTTAGAGAAAGTGATCTTTCAAGTACTAAGGATGGAAAGGATGTGAAGGCAATTGTACTCGATCAAAAGTTTTGGGCTGATTGTGACTTCATTGTTAAGTTGACAAGTCCAATTGTTATGTTGCTTCCAGTTGTGGATTCAGATACTAAAGCAGCAATGGGGTATGTGTATGATGGGATGACTACGGTGTCAAATGCTATTAAGACTATTTGTGGAAATAAGGAGGAGATGTACAAACCATACATGGATATCGTTAATAGGAGATGGGATAAGCACTTGAGCCGTGATTTGTTTATGGCAGCTCACTATCTTAATCCGTCTATTAAGTATGCTGATGATTGGATAGAGGATAGGGCGGTTACATTTGGACTTCTTAATCTTCTTAAGAACTCGTCTTTATGTCCTCATAATAGTGTGGTGGTGGCGGAGATGAATTTGTATGCTGAAAAGAAAGAAAACTTTGGGAGAAGATGGCAATAAGATTCTGCACAAAAATAACAACCAGGTAATTGATATTACTTGCATTGAACTTCTTCTATTTATTACAATATTTAAGAAACTACCATCTATGTTTTATATGTAGATAAGTGGTGGAAATGGTTTGGCATTGATGCTCCAAATATTCAGAAGTTGGTTATTCGAATTCTTAGCCAAACTGCTTCTTCTGGTTGTGAACGTAATTGGGGTGTCTTTGAACGTGTGTATACCAAAAGAAGAAACAGATTGCAACATAAAGTGCTTAGTAACTTGGTGTTTGTGAATTACAACTTGCGATTGCAGAATAGGTAATGATTTGAATTATAGAACTTGTGTGTTGAATTCATACTTTCGATGCTTACTATTGAATTAAATTATTTTATATTTTCTACTTTGATTAGGGAGTATTATACCAAGAACAAAAAAGAATGATATGATCCCATAAGCCTTTAGAGCATTGATTCTACTGTTACTAGTCACTGGTTGTCAGAAGGGGAAGAAGGTTCATCTTCTAGGGAAAAGGAATTGGATATTGATGAGTTGGATCGAGCATTAGAAGAGGGAGGCTTGTCTGTAAATCAATTATGTATGATATGAATTCTAATACTAATAATTGATAATAATTCTTACTTGTTTTCTCTTGTATTGTAGTTGGTGATGAAAAAGATGAAGGGGACAACTTGCGGAATGTAGACTTATCTACATTTGGTGTTGTTTGAATATATGAAACGTTGTTTGTGAACGTTATAGTGCTTGCTAGTTTGAGTTTGTGGTAGTTGTGAACTTGTGGTTTGAGAATGTTGTTTGGTTGTTTTGTACTTTGAACGAAAAGGAAATGTTGTTTGGTTTGAGAATGTTGTTTGAACTTGTGGTTTAAGAATGTTGTTTGGTTGTTTTGTACTCGATAGTAAACATGCTTTTGAACGATTATGTAGTTAATTCAGTAATGTTGCAGTTTGTTGATTGTTATATTAAATATGCCTATTTAGTTTATTCAGGTTTGTTATCCGGTATTATTCCGAAACGGTATCCTGAATCTGCCGGTACGACTTTTTAACAAAAAAAATATTTTTTTAATTATAGAAATGGTATTTTGCCCGTACACAACGATTAAATCATGGTAGTACCACAAAATACCCTCCCACTGGCGGATCCTTTATGACTTCCGGTACGGTTTCCTTTATCATGCTCTACTCCGATCCCTCTACCACCTAAACAGCAATCGCCACTATGAAACGCAAAAACGTTTCACTCTCTGCTATCTCGATCGGCCGGCGGATCGGAACCGACGCAGCTTTTAAACCCTAGTTAACACTGTTCCCCCGGAGGAAATCTCATCTCCGTTTTCCTTTATTTTCCCAGCAACCAAACATCCTCTTACGACTTTCGTCCCCCCGGAAGTTCTTTTCACTTTCAGTTTTTAATTATTTCACAACTCCCCACGTATACCTTCCTTATCAGTCACTCATTTCGGCAAAACCTCTTTTAGTTTAGGATGGAAAAAAAGAAACAATAACCTTGCAGCGGATAAAAAAAACCCCGATCCGGCCATGGATTTCGTCGAGCTGGAAGCGACCGAAGCTCTGCGGTGGTCGTGGAACGCCTGGCCGACGACGAAATCCGATGCTGCTTCCGTCGTAGTCCCGCTCAGCATCATGTGCACGCCGTTGATGCAATCCTCCGAGCTCCCGATTTTCCCCTACGAGCCTCTCCACTGCACTCTATGCAACTCCGTGTTGAACCCTTACGCCAGGGTTTACCAGACGCGCATCTGGAGCTGCCCTTTCTGCTACCGCGATTTCTTATCCGCGCATCGGCGAATCGAATCTCCCCGCGGAGCTCTTCTCTGCCTACAGTACCTTGGAATACAAAATCAATAGGAAAGATGCCAGGGTCGGTACGAGCTCGCAGTTGGGTTACCGATTGGCTCACGGACTGCCGTCGTCGAATGGGTCGCTTTCCCCGATGGCATCGGTGGGGTCTCCGAGGTTTGGGGCCGGCGGCGGCGGAGAGTTCAGGAAGCTGGGGCCTGCTTTCGTTTTTGTTGTGGATGCTAGCACGGCGGAGGAGGAGCTGAAAGCGATTAAGACTGAGCTGCTGTTGGTTGTGGAGCAGTTGCCTGAAAATGCACTGGTGGGTCTGGTTGCGTTTGATTCCATGGTTAGGGTTAGTGATCTGGGTTTGTCGGACTGCTCCAGAGCTGTGGTGTTTCATGGTGGACGTGAGCTCTCATCGGAGCAGGTAACTAGTTTCTATTACTGACTTAAATTGCAGTTAAATTCTTACTTCTTTACATGATCAGCGATCAACTTGGATATCACTCCTATGTTTTTCTTTATCAATATAGCGTTTGTGTGAAATTAACTAGAAATACCAGTGATCATAGATAGGACAGAAAGTGAGATAAACTTAGCTTCTGAACATTAAGGACAAAAAGATCACTCGACTCGAGGAATACTAATCCCTTCACCGATTCATACACTTGGGCTTTGTAGTGTAAGTTCTAGATGCTGAAATGCTAATGAAGTTTGAAATACAACAGAACCTGTTACATTGACTCATGCGATGGCATTGGATAATGGTTATGGTTACTTAAAGTTCTCTTTTGACAGTGCATTGGTGTGCAAATCTGAGCTAGTCCTGTGTCTACATTTCAAATAACAGACTCAAGGATTTCTGGGGCTACCCATCAGAAAGCAACAGCAACTTGGTGGTAATACGCCAGTCATCTAAAAGCGCAGGTAGATTTTTGCTTCCAGTGTCAGAATGTGAGTTCAACATAATAACTGCGATAGAAGAAATATATTCTTTAGATGTTGTCAAGCCTGGTCATCGTCCTCAAAGGTGCGCGCCGGAGCAGCAATCGCTGTTGCTCTTGGACTTCTTGAAGGATGTTGCGTGAATACTGGATCTAGGATCATGGTATTCACATCTGGACCGGCAACTTTAGGCCCGGGTGTCGTGGTTGACTCAGATCTCGATCGGTAGCACGATCAGAACTCACAGGGATCTCATTAGTGGCCATGCACCATACTACAAGAACTCTCTTAGCTTCTACAACACTTTGTCTCAGCGGCTATCCGATGCATCTGTTGTTCTTGATTTATTTGCATGTTCTCTTGATCAGTCAGGCTAGGTTGCTTCTTGCCAAGCTGAACCCATCAGTGACTCAGGATTCGACGTACAAAGAGGGCTAGGATATTATACTCACTGATGATTTCAGCTTGCAAGTGTTCATAGATCACTTGCAGGCTCTGGCTGTTAAAGGCTAAGGAGCTTGTAAGGGTAAAAGAATCATTGTATATATCTTCTTGTTATCTTTGATCAATTGATCTAGAAGGGCAGCTGAAGGCGTATTGTATAGTATCTATCTTGAAGAGGAGGCTAAGGCAGTTTTGGGTTGAGAGTAGGTTAGACTAACTCCAACCCAAAAGGTTATATTTAGCCTCTCAATCTCTCAAATGTGCATTTTTACCTTCCAAAAACACATTTTTGCTCCAACCCTAAACCTTCTAAATTTGCCTTCTCAACTCATAACCAACCAATCAAAAATTAAGAAAGTAAAAATAAAAATAAAAATAAAGATGTTGGAAAGTGGAGGGCCCCAGCGTGTTGGCTTGGGTTCATGGTTGGTCCCCCACCTTCTCCTTGCATTTTTCCATATGAGCTTCTATCTATCCATCCCCAAGCCCACTTCTCCAAATTTGCAAGCCAAATAATTGGTGGGTTGGAGATGAAAAAAAGCCAAAAACCTCCCTTTCTCCAAATTTGCATGCTTGGGTTGGAGATAGTCTTAGTGCCTTAGTTGTAGATTGTTTGTTTGTTTTTCCTTTTGTGTATTCATTCTTTTTGTGTTGTGTTTCACGGCATTGTAACAATTAGTAATTACCAAGGTGAGCGAGTATTGAATAATCCCATCGCTCAGCTTTCTTGTTTGTCTGCTAAGTGGAGCTTAATTGGAATTGAGAGAAACTAGCTTTTTACCCGGCTCGTTGCTGGAGAGATTTATTTTATAATTTATATTAATTAACTTATTTATAAGTTTAAATCATTTTGAATCTTTTAAATATTTTGTGTTTTTGATTCATAACCGAGTTTGTAGTATGTCTATATTGAAAATTTTCAATAATTAGCACACTCACTCGTGATGCTTCGGTTTTCTAATCATAAATTATGCCGCTGTCACGTCCTATTTAGAACTTATGTCAAAAACTTTCAACCAAAATACTAATATTTAGCGTACGGCGACCTGAACCACACACATATATATAGTTCACGCTAGGCGTGCGCCAGGGCCCACACTACGCTATACTCTTGCGTTCACACTACCATACCACCATTGAGTTTTACTATTTAGACCCCGAATTAACCGGAGGTTTTTGGGGCATATGATACTATACCCTAACCTCTAATAGGTAAACTCTAGTCCTTAATTCTCTAACCTCTAATTTGTGCACATACTTCGTCATACCTATCTACTATTGTATCTATATGTAATATATAAAGAGGCAAATCCTAAGATCATGCTATTTATTTCTTATCCTCTCCCGTCGTCCCCTTTATGGAGAATAAAAGGGCAGGGATGACAGGATCATAGCTCGATATGGTTTTATTATGTTTATCGTATCGGAGGTTATGTTCTTTTTTTGCTTGTTTTGGGCTTCTTTTCATTCTTTTTCGGCACATATGGTTGTGATAAGAGGTATTTAGCCTCTGAAAGGGATTGGGATTTTAGGCCCTTTGAAAATTCAATACACATTCATGATCCTCGAGTTTGGACGAACTCTGGAACAATGTTGTAAATATTAGGAGTTTTTAGTGAGAAATTCTTAGTAAAGATACTTCATTATTGGATTTATTCATCTATATTGAAACTTGACACACACAGTAGCCTTCATTATGACTAAATTCTCTAATCTCTACTCATTTCCATTTTGAATGTTTTTTTTTATCGAGACACTTAAATTTAGTATATTATACAATATGTATCAATTGTTAATTCTTGAAGTTTAGACTAAACCTCAACCCGTGGTCACTGTTTATATGTTGTCTTAGGATCTCAATCTAAGACACTCACATACACTATCGAGGATGTTGGTCCTAACATGGTCATTGAAAGAGTAATTTTCAAAGATTTTATCACTTATATATTAATAATTGATAAAGAGTGTCTCCAATACACACATATTTCAAGTGCATTTAAAATGTATTATCATTTGAACAATATCAGTGGATTTCATTTGATTATTTGCATTAACTTATTATCTTATACAACATATATCAATTCGTGTTTCTCGAGTTTGGACGAACTGGCAACCAATTTTGAGAGTTGAGATTATTGGATAAAGATACTTGATTGCTGGATAAATATGTTTATCCCAATTGACTATCTTACTAAAAATTGTCAACCTTTATTTGGTAAATGCCTAGGTTAGTAGTTGATGAAACGTGATGTTTATCGTAGATTCTCAACAAAGATTTCTCTAACCTTCACATATGTTATTTTTCAAGGAATATTTTGTCTCCTCCTAGGGTATCGAATCAAAGTTCGTCAACAATCATACTTAAGTCTTTTTGAAAAATTTGATTTATAATCGTCGATGATAACTCCAAGTCTGAAAGAAAATTTCTTATCATACGACTTAGTATCTCAATAGAGCTTGCCCAATCAACATGATATAGAGCAAATATTATTAATGTGAACTTAGGGCATATTATAAAATGATTGCACATGCAATTCCTCTTCATATGAGGAGTTTAACGTAGAACATGATCTTAATGAATAAGAAGTCTTTTCTAAATAAATAATTGTATTACTCGATCAAGATTAAACTCTGACATATACTTTACGAATAAGAGAGTGTTTCATTGCAACAAAATATAAATTAATATAATTTATTTTTCGAAGGTAATTGAATGTCAAATGTTTATTTTCCCTCTTTTCATATATATTTTGTTTAATCGATAAGAACATTATTGTTGAAGTGTATGCTTGTTTAATTTTTTTCATCAAAATGTAACTTTTCATTCAATTTTAGTAAAAATGAATAGAAATTTTACTTCTTGAAGTTTAATCATATATTTTTTTTAAAACAAAAGTGATATATGTCACTCAATTTTTTTATTTATATTTTGTTTACTTGACAAAAAAATATTATTTATGTGATTTTCGTTAAGTTGATCAACATGTAAACTTATTATTAAAGAAAAAAAAGAATAAATGGATAAATGAAAATGAATAATTGATAAAAGAAATGAAAATATTAAAGAAGAGAGAGGTAGCTCCATAAATACATTAATAACTATTTTTTTTTTTGTAAAAAAGTTGTCCAACTTGTCAAATTGTGGATCCTTCAAGTGCTTATGTGGCAAGAGATTGCTTTTGAATTTCCATAATATATAGTATAGATAGATAGATAGATAGAGATAGATAGATAGATAGATAGATAGATAGATAGATAGATATAGATATAGATATAGATATAGATAGATAGATATATAGATAGATAGATAGATAGATAGATAGATATAGATAGATATAGATAGATAGATAGATAGAAATAGATAGATAGGGGTTATAGGTATAATATGCTCCTCTACTATGACGTTTTATCAAACATGCCCTTCTACTATTTTTTATATCAAACATGCCCCTGTACTTTGTAAAAGTGATCAAACATGCCCTTTTGTTTAAATTTTCATCAAAAAACCGTTAACCAAGATCGAACTTTGGTTTGGGCGGCACAAATGTCTAAAATATACCATAATTTCACTTTAGAATTTTTTTGTTCTTTTGTATAGCCAAATAATTCAAATAATTTAACTTTGAAGAGATCCAGAGAAATAAAACGGGAGACAAAATTGATATTTTCGCTCCCAT